ATATAAAATAATATGTAAGAAATTATAATAGATAAGAGCATAGATTTGCTTCAGAAGGTGGCATTTGAGGGATCCATAATATGACAAAGATTTTACATCAGCTTATGTATGATTGTTTAAATTAAAGAGCAAATCTAATTTTGATATATTTCAGGAACTGAGAAGAAATATGAAACAGAAAATTCAGTGAAGTAGAACATTCTCAAAAAATGTAATTTATACAGATTTAAGCTTATTTCATGATCTTAACACACCAAATTTGGGAGATGAAATCACTGTGAAACAATGCTTCACTGCTTTTATAGAAGTTAATATAAGGGACATGCAGGGATACTGACTACTGCTCTAAAACAAAAGATTTCTGCTGTATGTGTAGATTGTGAGTGTATGATTGTGTGTGATTGTGATATATGTGAAGATATATGTGTATATATATTTATATATATGTATGTAAAAAAATGCTAGCTGCATTTTACATAGTCTTGCATTAATATGTACCAAGTACAATAACTCTCTTAAATCAAAACAACAGCAATAGTTTTGGTAAGTGTCAGCTAATTTGTAAGCATTGCTGAGGGCAGCATATTTACAATTGCAGAGAAGGATAAAAGCTGCATAAAGGAATGCTACATCTGTTTGAAGTGAAATTGCCAGAAGGGTTTTGTATAAGGAAGCTCTTTCATTTTTGTAAAAACTGTTCCAGAATAAGCATTAGAGAATTCAGTATTCTCTGCCCATCTCTGGGTCTTTCTTGAGAACTGCACTGTTTGTGTGTGTATGATGTTAACTGCTTGTGGTGTTAATTGCTGAAATAATGGTTCAAGGTCAAATGCTGTACAAGATTCTGAAGTGTTAGTAATTTAAACTAAGAAAATTTGAATAGCTAGATGAGCTAAAATACAACTATTTTTTCTGAAGAGTTTTACATTCCTGTATTCCAAAAATGTCTTTATTTCCTCGTTGCATCTGTGGGTTTTGTTTGCAGCTGTGGGAAAGTGCACTGAAAATTATCTATGTGTGTTTTTTTTTTTTTTTTTTTTTTTGCAGGCAAGCAGAAGTGTGCTTATTCTCATGTCCTACAGTGACGAGTTCAAAGCTGTCTGACTGAGAGCCTGATTTCTTATTCTTCTTTCTTTCCTTTCTGAAGATTGTGGCTGCCAGGGAAAGATTCCATTGCAAAGAGAAAAAAAATCTGCTGAGATACCTTGAGCCATTTCTTTGATGGGGAGAATCATGTGAACTAATAATCTGGCTTTACAGTTTCTGGGAAATCAGTGAAATGAGTGATGTTTTAAGTGAATGTGTTCTTGGCGGCTGCTGAAGAAGCACAGCTTTTTGGTGTAGCTGGAGTGTAGTTCACTTCTGAAATTCTTGTGTTTAAGGCAATCCAATGCAAAGATGAAGAGAAAGAATTAGCAGAGTCAGGGTGGCAAATAAGGGATTAGGTAGATCTTTTGTGTTCTGCTCGGATGTCACTACCATAAATCTCTGCTTGATGAGGCTAAATCTAGAGCCTTCAGCCATTCAGAATTCCTGGACCAGATGCCAGACCCATCACTAGATGATTGTCCAGTCCTGTGCAGCCTCTCTTCTGTGTGAAAGGAAGAGGACTAGGAACCTTCTGATGAAAGTGAAAGCTAAAAAAGTGCAATTCTTGTAACAAGAAATTAATTCCACCTCTGCAGTAGCAATAATCTCTGTAAAGTTTGCCCAGCAGATACCAGCAGTGAATTAACACAGAGCTTGTGAAAAATTAAAGGACCTGAATATATAACTGTTTCAAATATTTCCTTGCTGAATGATTGCTTGAAATAGTTAAATTTTTTTCATTAATTTTTACTGTGAAGATCCTGATTTTATCCTCTGAATCCATGAGAGAATAGTGTGTTACGCTGTCTTTGTACAAATCAGGAAATATCCAGATTTAAAATTGGGCCATGGTGCACAGTAATGGCCTTTCACTTAAACAGTGGGGTTTAAGTAACTTATTTTAAAGATATTCCAGGTTTAGCCTCTTTGCACCTTATTTTACCTCATCTAATCTCTTCCTGTTTATTGTCCCCATCAGAGTAAGGGCATTATGCTTGTTTACTGCCCTTTTCTGTTTTAATTTTAAATTTGACCTGACATTAAGCTGTTCCTTTTTGTACTGGAGGCGGAAAAAAAAAAATCTAAGTCATATGGTATTATCTTTCACTTTCATTGCACCATCTGGATTCCTGGAGCTGGAGATGAAAACTGTCAACGACTCTTGATGCAAAGCAAATAGCCTTAGCTAAAAGGGAAGTTCAAGCTGGAGAACCATCCTGTCAGAAGTTTAGAGCAGTTCAACACTGGAGGAAGGAAGTTGTCATCTGTCAGAAGAGGCCATCCTGACCAAAAGCCATAGCTTTAGGTACCTAATGCTTTCCCTTAAAGATTAGTCTCATATTCATGATTTCAGTGGAAATCAGGTTCTGGCTCTATTGAAATTTATTTTTAGTCTACTGTTTGCAAAGCTTGTGTTCCAAACAAGAGGAAAAGGTCTAGTCTCTAATATCTGGACTTAATTTCAGAAAACTACAAGAAGGAGATGTTCATCCTGAACTCCATGGTTCATCCCGTCAATGACAAAATTGGTACCCATATGATTTTATGGCACTCATAATACAAGTTAATTCCAGGTCATTCTGAACTCTACAGAATGCAATGAACAATCCACATAATTATGTAGATTATATACCTCTTAAACGCCTTGAATTAAGGCATTAAAGAATCCAAATAAACTAACACTCTCATGTAACAAAGCATCTGAAATGCCTTATGACGGCTTTTCTGTAGGATCATAAGAACTGAAAAAAAGGAGTTCATTAGTAGTATTTATTCTTTATCCCTAAGAAAAATCCTGCTTGAAACTCTAAGGACACACTGAAAAATAAGCTTGTGTCACATGGGGTTGAGTGCTCATTCCAAATAATGATCATTATATCAGTCTAGAATATTACTTGTTATTTTATGTTCCTGGCAATTAGTGTATCTCATTTAAAATATTTATTTTTCCTTTTGGCTGAGTTTCTCTACAACACTGGAACAGTTGTCTTAAAAATGATGGTCTCTTGGGCAAAATAAATTAAGTCTTGGAATTATGTCAAGACTTTTAACTGAAGATGAATTTTCAAAACAGTCTTTGTGCAAAAAATGAAACTTACTTTCCCCTTTCAAGTCATCTTTCTACCTAATGCTTCTCTGGTGTTTCTCTCTTTTAATCAAACATATGCTCTCTTTCTTTCTGACTGGAAATCTTCCAAAGTTTGGGGGGAAGTCTTACAGGAAACCCTTCCAAAACATATGTAGAACTTGTTCTTCCTGTGCAGATAAAACCCCCAGATGTTTTTAAATTCAGACTATCTGAAACTGGAAAGCTGTAATTGCTTTGGGGCACTTTTTAATTAAAACATAGAATTTTGATAGTTATTTTTTACCTTATGATTTGCATCAAGGATTTTGCTTCACTGTACATATTTCTTCCAGTAGGTTCCAGATTTAGTTTAAATGTTTATTTGATTCTGAGGCTTTCTTATCAGATTATCAGATGGAAATCAGTGCAGTATATGCCTTTCATGAAGTTTTCTGTATGGCTTTGATTTGAAAACATCTGTCTTTTGAGTTACAAAATTAATTCAGAAGACTTATACATGTAAGATACAATTTAAATTCTTTCTCAGATATAGGCTTAGATTTTTCTGGTGTCCTGGAGTATAATTGCATGTTTTATGGATCTAATTTTTTTCTTGTGTGACTATTGATATACCACATCAATGGAATCTTAGAATAATGCCAATTAAGAGATTAGAATTTTACAGAAGTGCAATATCACAAGTTAATTGAGCAATGACTAAAATGATTAGCTATAATTAACTTCACATTTCTTTCTGGTTCTCTTCCTTCAGGAAGCATACATTGGACTCCTAGACTTTTATTACTAACACTATTAAATTATTTATTCTTTCATTGATTCCCTGGGGTAGTCAACCCACCCTGTTAAACAGAAATTTCTTTTGGGGTATCAAGGACCAGAGATGAGCAAAAGCAATCAAGCCAGCAATGTACCATCAATAATATTCCTATCGTTATTTGAAGTGTATTGCTAAGAGAAGTTGCTGAGTTACTGTCCTAGTGTGGAGTTTGGTGGTTTCATGTTTTGCATGTATAATAATGCTAATGCTAATGATAATGATAATAATTTCCATAGTTTCTAGACTATGTTGAAATCCTGTCTAACAAGGAGACACACAGAGGTAGATGATTATCAGCTTTAGGACCTAACTAACACATGCTGACTTCAAGTTTTCATCACATCTTTTACACTATTCTGCCATGTATTGGGAAGAGATCTGGTTTTAATGAGACAAACTTAGAAACGAGCACTATCAAATCAGAAGGTAGTTTTTAATCCAGAGGCATATACAGATGCCGTCAGGGATGCTAAAGGTGTGACCAGCATCCTGTGCGCTTTCCAAATGGGCTTTAAACTTAGTGTTAACATACCCAAAATGCAGGCATTGGGAGAAGGATTAATAATTCAAAGTAAGTGTTTCTGTTTCTTTTCTTCTCCCTGAACAGACTGATTACTCCCTGACTTCCACAGAAGGTAGGTACTAATGTTTCCTTCCACCTTTCAGTAACAAAAATCAGTGGAATTAAAGCCAGTACTCCTAAGAAGGGTAAGTATTAACTTTCCAGCATTCCCAGGAGCTATTAAGTCTTCTTATGCCATGAGCCTAATTAAATTACCGTGCAAAAAATTATTTTTGTTAGGCATGTAACCCATGTAATATGAAGATTTTTAGCATAACAGTTGAGGATTACCCTGCATTCAGAAGGTCCAGTACTGCTCAGGAGGTAGGAAGCTCAATTTTTATTTTCATTACTACTATATGACATGCTATATCTGAGAATTGTACCGTGAAACCAAAAGACAAGTGTATAAAACATGATAAAAAACAGATTATTCAGGATTGAATTGAGATTTTACTCAATGTAGGCAAGGAATTAAAGATTTAGAAAATAAGATTTAATAGGCAAGCAGACATTTCAATCAATGCCGAAATATTCATCTTTGTATATACAGAGTCAGAAAATTCACATATATATATATATATATATATAAAAGAAAATAAAAAATATTTCTGAAATACTTTATAAATATCTAAAATCCAAGAAGTTAAAAATCTGTACTTCCTTATATGATATACAACATATTAAGTTGCACATACTTAACATTTCATAAGAGAAAGTTAATTCTTAACTCCTTATGGCTACATTTGTGATCTAGGCTCCTGAACTGAATTCCTGGTCTGAAGCATTCAAGATGTAAATAAGCAGGCACGACAGTGAAAAGAATTATAACAAAGTAAGTCAGATCAACTAAACTATGCTTGGAGTATGTAGATCAGAACAACCAGAATGAAAAAAGTGGCCCCTACTACTAAACAATAATAAAAAAAGACTTCAGAGCAGTATGTTTATTGTACTAAATAAATACTGTTACTATTGCTTACAGAATCAGAATAGTGTGGTAACATCTTCCCACAACAGATTTTCTCATCTATCTCTTTGTTAGCAGGATGCAAATGTTTGAACACTGTCACTGATCTAGAAACAACACTAATTTTTTTCCCCCTAAATTACTCTTTTCAAAAAATTTTCTGTTTAAGAAAAGCCAAAAGTAATTAGCCCAAAACAATTATTTATCTCTTTGATGATGTAAAAGGTGTTTGGCCATATTGGTGAAAATGAATTCCTTGGGATGCTGTGATCTTCATAACTTCTCCATTTAGAGTATCATCTTCAATTATTGTTATCAATCCCTCAGCTATTATTGATGGGCTGAAAAAAAAAAGTTATTTCAGAGTTATGATATAATAGAACACATAAAAAGGACAAGAAACTAAATGTAAATTTATATATCTGAAAATTTAAAAGAAAGACATTTGAACAAATTTATTTTGAGGAAAAGCAGAGGTGGTATAAGTGTTTCAGGAGAGATATGTATTCTCCTCAATAAGGACATACATCTAAAGTGGCTACTTTACAAATCATCATTTGTTTGCTCTAGTTTCTGATAAATGCCCGTGGACATCCATCTGCCACTGGGCTTCCTATCAAAGTTTTCTCTGTCAGGAAAATGGACAGAAGTAATCCTTACACAATCCTCTGCAGCTCTTTGCTGTTGATTTACCCTGCTTCTGTAGCAGAGCTGATATACAAATTAGCATAAAGGATAATTTCACATGCAGTTTGCTGGGGTCAATAGGTGCAAAATATTTTACATAAAGAAAAATATAGGTGAAACAACACAGTCATACAATTTCCTTTGTGCAGAAGCATCTTGGAAGCTAATTGTAAGAAGCTAAGTGTTAAAAAATATCACTATGCTTGCCATGTTCTCACAGTCTGTCCAAGCTGTCTGCTTTTGGCCTTTGTTGGCAAGACTGCAATGGGCCAGGTAACTCTTTGATCTGATCCATTGTGGCTGCTATTGTGCTTTTAATCCAGCTTTGTCAGTTCATGGTCTGATTTCTATCTTGGTTCACTTGACAATTTTGTGAAAATTCTGTACAAATTATATCTCACAGTACCTCACAACAAGTTTGATTAAACAAATTCATGAGGGAACACCAAAGTCTATTAAAAACTAAAAGAACTATATTTAACTTGCTAATTTGATTTGGACTTTGCTGGGAAATGGGAATGCATAAAGGGATATATCAATGTGCAGGTGGTGTTCTTAAAATAGATATCTGCCATTTTTTCTTTCTATACAGATAATGCATTTGATAGTCTTTTATCTGAGGCAGTATTTCCCTTTTGTTTAATTTTGCTGAAAGTGTGTCCCTGTTCTTCATGAACAAAGTGCAAAACTCGCATTATATCTGACTTGACTTACTCCATCACGCCATAGAACTGCATCATATTTTTTATTTCATCCTTGTATGAATAGTATTGTCCCATATTCTCTTCTTTATCTATTGACTGAAGAATTGGTGTGTTGACAAATCCTGGACAAATTGTGTTCAGTCTCACACCGTAGTTGTCCATGTTAGCAGCTAACTAGAAAACAGAAAGGGGTAGGCATTTGTCATCAATATTTTAAGACAGTATTGTGCAAGCAGATTTTCAAAGAATGAGATTTACCACAAAGTACTGTTCAGCCTTGCTAAGTAAGGATATTTTGTTACTACTGATTGTTTTAACAACTAAGTTTGAAGCACATTTTCTCTAGTGATCATACTAGATTACTGGGAAACAACCCCACATTTCTTTTGTTAGGAGAATAATTCTACAAGAAATCAGAACTCTTTCCATGAAGCTGGTTTTTTTTTTTTTTCCTAATACTTGTTGTTCTTAGTGCTCTTTAGCATGTCATTGACAGTGTTCTGGAGTGATGACACAACTCTTCTAAACAAAAAACAAGAAAGGTTCTCCCAAATGTATGCTTCCGATTTTATAGAAGCTTTTTTTTTATTAAAAGAAAACTCTGAAATAAATAAAATAATCTTTAAGATACTGTATTAAGATACCTTCCTCACATCAACAGAAATACAATATGTTCTCAATCCCTACAACTGTAATGCTAAACCTTTCTACTTGCTCTGTTGTTCCTGCCAAGTTATTAATCTATCAGTGAGCATCTCCACTGGAAAGTCCCTGTGAACTGATTTTTTTTCAGGAAATAGCTCAGGAACATGATGCAAGAAAGAAGCACAAGTTGTTCTGGGAGAGGTAGGACCCCTTGTTTGTGGTTCTACCAAATGCATGTAGCAAAGAAGTTTGATCAACATCCAGGTATGAGTCAAATGAACTGGATGAACTGGATGAGGTGGATGAACTTTCTTAGAAGAAGCACAGAACTAATGAACTACACACAATGTATTCAAGAATAACCGTAACTGTTAAACACTGTATTCTCTTTATTTTAACATTTAATTGACTCCTTTCAGATATTATCTAAGTCACATGTCATTTCCATGGCATGGTAGCCTGCCCTTTTGGTCTGGGGAGACAAGAAACTGAAGCCCTAGACGTAAGGTATCAGACCTGCCCAACACCAGGCTGTAGTGCCTTTCCTGGTAAATAGTTCACTATGTTTATTATTCTTTTTTCCTTGGCATTCTCGTGTTCCTTAAAGACAGCATTTCCTCTAATTTACTTTTGGGCTTACATGGTGACATTTATTTTTCTAATGAGAAAACAAAAAATGGAAAACTAGGTTACATGTTATTGATGTGTTTAATGTGATATATGCTACACTTATCCACACTATTCTATTTATGTTAATCTGAAAAAGGAGCTATTTGTGTGGGGATGGGGGCATAAAATATGGATAGAGTGTAATTGATGTAATTATATTGACAGTGTAATTTCAGGTGTTTAATTCTGGAAATCAGTCTGGAAATCTTATGTAAGCAGATTATCTTTAACATTAATCTATTAAAGTGTAATTGTATTTTCTCCCTCCAAGTTTATTACATTGCTTGTTAAATTTAACTAGAAAGTTTTGGAGTTAGATGGCTGAAATTTATAATATGGTCATCTTACATGCCCCATCCTGAATGCATTATTTTTTCTTTTCAGAGTATTAACAGTCAGTAAGAATGAATAATGATGTGTTCAAGTAACTCTTTTATACTTCAGTGCCTATTTATCATAAAAAAGTCATTGACATGACTTAGAAATAAGGAAACCAAAATTTTAAATGACTGGGACAGGGTTCTGAAAAAGTATTTTTAAAACTTGGATTAGAATTTTGCTTTTGGACTCCTCTCACTTAAATTACTCTTAAATTACTCTGCAACATCTTTCTTCTATGCTCTCCAAACCTCAAATGGGTCATAAACACACAGATGCTGTACTTATTCCATCTTCGGATTCCCTTTGTGAAAGGAGGGAACTCCCACCGCTTCACACACTTTGTTTTCTTTCAGAAAATTAATTCCAGTTGTGTGGCTATAGAGGAGGAACATGAAAAACCTAAGTGTGTTCCCAAGGAGCTGCTGACACCCTTTTGGAAACTGCATACTTACTGCTATGGACCGTGTGAATCCAATGACACCGTGCTTTGTAGCACAGTACACAGGCTGGAATGCAGCAGGCATGAGTCCTTTAAAATAAAAAGGCAGCTGAATGAAGATGTGGCATATTCCTATCTTATGATTACCTTAAACACGCGTATAGGTCTACATTGTAAAAAACTCGTGTCAGAGATGCAACAAAATGGATTAGTAGGCATTTGTAAATTATATTCTGTAATCTGGGATTGGTTAAGAAATAAACGGACAAATTAAAATGTGTGGGCAAAAGAAGAGTAATAAAAAAGCATAACTTTTAAAAGGAAAAGTTGTATCTATGAAGTATGACTTAAAATAGAGGACAAATCTGGAAGAAAACACTCAAGAATGGGATTTTTGAGGCATCTATGAATCAGTAAAGTATTTAAAGTATACTGAGGAGTAATGTCTTTTAGGTAGGCTTTGATATCTAATGTGTGAACTGGATACCTGCAATCATTTACAGTGTGTTCAGGGAGGAAGTGTGGGAATAGGAGAAGCAAAAAAAAATTTCCTGATAACACTGTAAACCTTTATGGTCCAAGTGGGAGAGCACAACATTTTTATTTGTTGTAGAGAAAGAAGAGAGAACAGAGGTTTTGGAAGAAAACTAAGAACTTAATGCTGGTAAAACTGAGTTGATGGCAAAAAGCTGGTCAAAACGAAATGACAGACCATGAGCACATACTCATTTCTGCCAATTATGCCAACAGTTTCTAATATAGAATGAAAGCTGAACTGGACCAAATAGATGCTGTAGTTCCACCTGAAAATCAGGCCCTTATGAATAGCAAACTTCAACCTGTCTGAAAGCTAGAGGATAAAATGTTTTCCTGAATGTGCTATTATAAAATGGGATAGTAATTTTAATGCCTTAATGTTTGATTCTAATGGAAATAATCCAGATTAATAACTCATATTTTTTTTAAATCTTTCATACTTCAGATCTTAAGGTGATACTTTCAAGAAGGGGTATGACTTACCTCAGTGGAGATGTAGAATTCACTATCTAGCTCTAAGGATGGATTTGCCAGAAAAATTATATATGCCAGACTTGCATGGGCTCTTTGCACTGGGATCTATTTTGTCTGACGGAAATAACTTTATAAGACAGCCCAAAGCTCTAATTACCAACCTGACAGCTTCAAGGTTTTATCTTGATTTAAACACTGCCTTGATGATCCCGTTCAATACTGGGAAATGAAGAACTTAACCTATTGTCTGGTTGTTCTTTTAAAATTGTATTTATTTGCTTAGCTTGGATTAATGTGTTATGCTTCTGCTTAAGAACTCAGTTTATGAAATGGCTCTTGTACTGTCTCTTGTGGGTTGTGATCACAACAAATGCTTAATATTCCTCTGTTTGTGGACTTTTTGTGATCACCATTCTTCAGATTATTGGAAGCACTGGAATATTGGTACATTAGAAATAATACAATACTATTTTTAAAAAACCCAAACTCTCAAGTACTTTTACATGCTTCAAATAAAGGAAATTCTAATCAGGCTGTGGTTAACAGAAATAAAACAGAGAAAGTCTACAGGGAAACACAGAGGAAGAATTTAGAAGTAATTCTATTTTTATTTTTTAAACACAGTAAGAAAAATTACCTTTTACTTGAGAGGGAAGAGAAACAAAGTCAAGAAATAAACAAAGGAAGGGCACTGCTCAATAATGAAGCAGAATAAGGTTCAAAGACGTACTTAAATGCCAAAGACAGCAGTAATAACTAGGCAGGAAGAGAGGAACAAGTAGTGTTTTATTTTTTTTTTTTTAGGAAAACCAATTCTTTCTTAATTGAAATTTCATCTTTGCTGAAGTAGAGAACCAAGAAAAAATCATCTCACTTTTGGATAAAGCATCTAAGACTAGTCCTAGAACTCCTCACATAAAACAGTAACAGTCCCGTGTCACTTCTGTTCCTGAGTTCAGTACTCAGAACCCCAGTGAGGGCTTTCCAGCTCTGAGCCGCTTCCCCGCCCTAGGAAGAGCTGGGCCTCTGCTGGTGGCGTGTCCCAGGGACTCTCCTAAAGTACTTTATGACGAGCCACTGTGTCACACTGAGTCTGCTCTGCCCACGTATTTATTCAACCAGTGAGCAGAGATGAGTTCCTAACATATTAGTTAGGGCATCCATTTGTTAGAAAATCTGGATTCTATTTGCTGCTGCCATGAATATTTAATTATCTTCTGAAAAGCAGAACGACAGTGAAACAGACTAGAGACCATTATGCACAAAATAATGGGGAGAAGAAGAGGAGGGTGTTCAAATGGAAGGTGATGGGTCAGTGTACTTCTGGAAAGTGATACATTTGTGTTTTAATCTCTGTTAGACAGGGAAGAGGGGGGTGATGCTATGGCTAGGTTTTTCTCTATATATGTTGCTGCATGGTGAATTGGAAATTACATTGTGATGACTCAAAATGCTCTTTGGTTTACCAAAACCAGTTCAAGCAGACCAACAATAATCCTGTGCTCCAATGTTAACTGCTCTGTTCTACTTTTCTCAGTTCCTGGCAGACTGAGAGAGACAGTTCTTGCCCTTGTTTATACTCTACTCTCTGTTGGTGAGCAGAGCACTCTGCCATTGAAGATATGGTGTCAGGTGCCTCAGCAGAACTCCTTAATCATGGTTAATAGTTTCAAAAACCACATCCTGAGAAATTAATACTGGAGGTAGAGAATTCTATTAACAAGTGTGAATTGTATCAGTAGGCTTTGCTGAAACCAGTATTTCCTTTCATTCCACTTCGATGAAATGAAAGAACTTTGATAAAAACAGAATTAAGCATTTTTCCCCAGTTATGCTCTCCCACTGAACATGTTGCCCTCAGAGATTTGAGTAAGTTCCTTTCTTTGAATAAGATTTATTAGCCTTTTCAGATTTAAGAGGCACTTTCTCCTTTCTGGTTTTCTCTCTGCAAGCCCCCATGATATCATTTTAGCTTTCCGGAGTGCCAAAACAAAGGTGCAACAGAAATCCTAGCAAAAAATTCTAAGCTGTGCCATTTCTATGGTTTTTTTTTTTTTTTTTTTGATAGTGAAGTCTGAAGGGAATAGCTTCTAATTCTTGTTAACCTCATTCTGGCAGATTCTGCTGTGCATTTTGCTTTTCACAAAGGGGAGGGACCAGAAGCTCTGTCATGATGCTGAAGTGAAGGCCTCAGTTGTACAGCCATTGACACTTCTGGTCCCCTGTATCCCTGTGACAGAGTCCTTGCGTGATGAAGTAACCACATGCTTAGTTTTGTTCTTGTAATACATACACGATCTGGTCCTAAAAAAGCTTGTTTGCTGTGACAGGTACTTTAAGTATTTCTCGTGGCTGAAGCTTTCAATAAAAGGAAGACAATCTAGCTGTTAGAGGAATCAGAATGTTTGAAGTTGAGTGCAATCAAATCAATATGGCTGTGCAGCAGAAAGGTATCCAGATTCACTACACATTGAACAGCCTCTCAAAAAAGTAGCATGATGCTACACTAAAAAATTATAACATTTTTTAAGCCCTCTGTAAAACCTCTGACTTTTTTTTTGTCTGCTAAAATAGACAGATACAAATTCATTTTCGCAGAAAACCTTCTTCAAAATACGAAAGTCATAAAGCAAAAGTGTGTGCCATACTTGCATTCCTTTTGCCCTTTTACTCTTTGCAAAAAGGGTACAGCTACCAACCACTACAAGGTAAAAAAAACATGTTAAGTTTAATAATTTAAATAGCCTCTTGAGTTAAATTTAGGTTTTTTTCTGCTTCCTCTGTTGCTTTTAACTATTCAATTAAATGCAATTAAAGGTACCATGTGTAGCTTACTATGGAAGAAATTTTAGAACATTTTATTATTTGAATTTGAAAATTAAGTCTATTCCAATGCAAAAACCTGCAAACATTGAAATTGTTTTTTATGGAGCCAAATTTGAAGTAAACCACTTCTCATTATCTCAGTTTCACAGAATTTCTTCTTCTTGATAGGAATGCACAAATCAAAATTAAATTTTGTAGCTTTGAGACATAGTTGAGTGCCTGCTGCATGTGATCACATATTTCTCTCCCTCTTTTAAGTCCTGTCTGGGTCAAGACTAAAGAAAGGAAGACTCATTAGAGGATAGACAGGCTTTGGCGCTTTGGCTGTGATCCAGCCAAATTAACCCTTTTAAGCATCCACTTCACAGAAATAATTTCCGTACTACCATGGATGTTTGGAAATGTAATATACTGTAAGGCTTGATTCTGTCCCTTGTCCAAATCAATGGCAAAATTCCCATGGTGATGTACTGATTAATATTAATGTAGCTAATTAATGTGCAAAGGAAGTACTATTGAATTTTACATAAGCACTATGTACAGTTCTTCTTGTTGCTGAAAAAGACATAGGAAGGTTTGCTGTCTGTATCTTCCAGAGAACTTGGACAGTGAGGATCAAAAGCACTCAGAAGTTTAATGATCAACAGAAGCTAGCTCTGAGAAAACACTTGAGGGGGATGTTAAGCAAACCAATGGAAGTTTGTCTTTCATATATGGAATAAACTTCAGGACTTAGACCTTCAGACTGGAAAGGAGAATTACAATCACAAAGCACAAACAGTAGTAAGTAAATAAGCAATAAGAAATTAGTATATGTTAGCTTTTAAAATGTGTTTTTCCTTATGACCTTGGAAACTATTGTTAAACACAAACCATGTAAAACCAAACAAAGCAAAGAAACTGTTTGTCTTAACAAACAGAACAGCCAAGCTTTTAGATCTTAAAAACAAAATAATTTTGTGTTCATTTGAGACCAGTTAGAAAAGGAATCAAACCACTTGCTAGCCCTACCCTTTCTTAAGGAGTGCCTTGGGCATCGGTGTCTCTGTGAACATGTTTAATATTTTACTTGTGTTGATGACCTCTTGCACTGCAACAGCAGTTTCCTTCAAGTTAATTTGGACCCAATACAATGTCCATTTCAGCCTATAGAGATAAACTTACTGGTGTCAGTAGGCAATGTGTCAGGCAGCATGACAAATGCTGACTTAAAGGTACATGGAGTCTTTTAATAAGACCCCCTCACTCTTTGGACATATGTGCATGCATTAAGTCAGATCCTCAAGATCCATATGCATTATGTCAGTAGGGTGAACTGGACATTTTATCACAAAAGCCAAGGTTTACAGGAGAACTTAAACTACTCAGAACATCCACACCTCTGCACAATCAGTTAACTATAGCTGGTGTTATCTTAACTGGTTTTTCATTGGTAAAACACATAGGAATATCCTGGAATGAAATGAGTAGGATTTGGTAATCTGCAGACACAAAAAAACCCTCTGACAAACTGAGTGTCAGGTAGCATATGTACTATTTTTCACAGGCAGTCTGACAGTAGAAAGAGAGAACAGCTAGAACAACTTCTCCAAACAAGAAAGAGAGAATGCAAATACTACCCCACAAAATTTTTGAGGAGGGTTGTCAGGTTACTTCATTCTCCATGTACAGTTTCCCCTTCGCTTTGCTTTTTTGCTGGGAGCCCAGCTACTGAAACACTGAGTATATCTACAGGAAATAATGAATTCTATTACCCCCAACTGATGTAGGATCCATAGAATTCTATTTTTATACCAATAAATTGAAATGCAGTTATAGAATAGATAAGTAGTGAGCAAAGAAAATGCTTGCTTAAGCTTGGTGAAATATGAGTGTTAATTTTATGGCTCCTCAAGTACAGGTAGATCACAGCAGAAAGGACTTGGAACACAGAGTGGGTGTGTGAAAATCTTTGTTAATAAACTAGGTACAGTCTAGCCTCAGAGGTTCCTACATTTGTGTTCCTCTGGAGTTGAATGGAGGAATTTACACCAGGCTCAAGATTTTAAATGCAACATTGATAGGTTAGGAAAATTACTGATTTTTTTCTATTGAATTTTGTTCAAAAAAGCAAATTAAATTTGTGGTTGTTTGATATTCCTTCTATTGCTATGATGAAAACCAGTGCAAAATATTTCTAAACAGGAAAGGGCCATAACAAGAAAAAAAAAGATAGATTGATCAGTATGGTTCATTTACTTAACAAGAAAACCCAGCAGAAATTGTTTATGCAGAAAATTTTCTCACCTGCCAAGGATGAGATATTAATGATTACTCCTCCATCACCTCCATTTCCTTTTCTCATGTATTCCAGGCCAAGGTAGGTTCCTCTGATCACAGATGTCTGGTGTAGAGAGGAAGGAATTATTGAAGATACTCAAAGGATTATTTGAAACTATTCAAAATATTTTATTGAATTATTGATGTTATTCAAACTATCTATTGTGCTTCTACAAACTTAAAACTTTCATAGTGGTGCTTAGAACCTGTATTACTTTACCAGTGATCTTATTTATACTTTGAAGTTGTTAAGCACAGAGACACTCCACAGTATTGCAACTCAATAACTTCAGAAGCACAATTGCAATAGATAGAAGTAATAGCAGTTTACTTATTTCTCTCAATAAGAGATAAATAAACAAACTAAAAGATTGAAATGTGAAATAAGAGCTATGAAGGAAATGGAAAAAAAAAAAGAGTAAGTAAATATTTTACAGATGAAACACCTTATATAAAAATATAAGTGGCAGGTGAATTGATCTAAATCCCATTGTTTTTGTTGAGATAACCTGTTCTATATTATAAAAAATGTACTGACTGTATCTGAAGATAACGTTAACACTTAATACTGCATTAGGCTCAAGTCAAAAGAAATTCACACTTCTTAGGATTAAGTACCATGACATAATTCTGGTCCCAAGATATTAAAAAATGTGTATTATTTTCTGACTAAAGTTACAGGAGTTTTACCATTCCTCTCAAATGAACATTAGCCCACACAGGCAAATACAGAGAAGGTAAAGAAGGCATTCTAAGAGATGTGAGATGTTATTAGCGTAATATTAGCTGTGACTTTTACAAACATTTATTTTTTTTTAAAGACAGAACTTCAAGGAAAAACAATTTTCTGAGACCTGTATGTATCATCTTGATTCCTTAACATCTGTTTTTGAACCCTACTGCAGCCAGAAATTCTGCTGAGATTTCTCTCACTGAGCTTCAGACTTTTAAAGTGAGATGTCTGAAGACACACCAAGCCTTGGGTTACCAGCCTGCTGGGGAATCATGAGAGAGTTTCTTCCAAAAAGTCACTTTACATGAGAGTGAAATGAAGAGTAAGAAAAAGAAATGGTGGTGGAAGATAACTTTAGAGAAATGTAAATTTCTCAACATTTACTGCGTTAGTGATGAGTTCCATAACTATTTACCAATTTTTTTTTTTTTTATCTCTCTGCAAGAATTTCATATTTACTTTACAATTTCTACTTAAAATGGCCAAATACACTGAGACACACTTTTACTATTTTGGAAATATTATTTCAGCTTTTAAATGAGAACTTCATTTGAACTTTATGACTCTTTAGTGCTATTTATTGACCCAAATAAACTAAGATGTCCAAAAAGTGAAGTATGCATGATTATTTCAATATTTCTGAGCAGAGAAGGTCTGCAGAATAATGGAGACAGAAATTTCCCATTAAAAAAAACACAGTGAAGAATCTGTATTTGCCTAAAACCTAATGGACAGTGACTAGAGAAACTGGGGGGAAAAAAAGATAAAAGCTTTTAAAATCAGAATGTTAACTATTATTCTGTCACTATCTAAATTCCCAAAGCAAAACTGGAATAATCTCGAGATGGGTATTATATTTCATTTTCATTAGCTGATATTTTTAGACATTAATGTTATAAAATATAAAGTAGTACTTCTAATTAATTTTCAGTTATCCTTCATGCTGTTTTGGTTTTAATAGGAATCAGATTTGGAAGAGTGCATGTCCTACTTTATTAATATCACTAGTTCATTTTTCAATTAACATGAGGCTGCCTATTGACAGAGATACAACAACCTGAGACTTCATTACCAAGACTGCTTTGGAACCTTGAGAATGAATCAGCTTTTCTCATTTTCTATAGTTTCAGCACTTAATGAGATATTTTTATAATAATATATTTTCAGAATATCTATTTCCTGGAATAGTGTAAAAGTCTACAAAATATGAATATTTCAAAATTCTGAAATAATATTTAAAATTTTTCTTAAAGAATTTTTTTTTTCCTGGAAAATCTTGTTTAACCTATCATTTTTAAAGAATTATTTTGATTAATTTAAAAAGGATCCTGTTGATTAAATGCTTTAACAGAAACTTTCCAAAGAATTGTCTTCAGTATCTTGATGCATACCAAACTAAATCAGATTTCTCTTGCATGTCCTGGAAAGCAGCAGAGTCCTTATAAAGGTTGATCTAGTGCTGTTTAGTGTTGATTGCCACATGTAAGTTCAATTTATTTAAACCAAGATTATTAATGTACAGTAGTGTTGCTATAAGATCTACTTATTCTGTACATAAACTTACAGGCACCTCAACCAAAATTAGATTTGGACTTAAGAGTGGAGTGTGTTTTCTAATATATATATATATATATATATATATATATATTTATGAGAGGCTGTACAGAAGATATTTGAGGAAGAAAGGGGTTAATGATGTCTTTGGAGAGCAGGTGCAGGTCCTGTCATGCCCTGGAGCTGTGGCTCAGCCTGCTGAGCAGAAAAGGAGAATTCCACTTAGGATGATTAGAGAAAATAAATCAGTTGAAGAAGGAAGTAGCTTGGGGCTCCTTGAAGGCTTTTCAATTCCTTCTAATTCAGAGATAATAGAGCTAGATGAGTCCTTGGCCAAACCACAATTATAAACCAAGAAAAAAGTGGGTAGCTTGGCTGTCCAATCAAAATTACTGTATTGTTCTTTTTCTCCCTCTGGAATCCATTAACTTGGTACTTCTTCAAGTGGCTGGAGACATGTTGTCCTTTACATAAAGGCATTGTGAGAGGTGGTCTTCAAGTTAAATGCAGACTTTCATCTGGATATTGCCCCTTACACCTGCTATAGCCTTGTAATCCTTACCTGTGATCCTTGCAAAAACCTCACTGAATGTGGCTGATCTTGGGTCAAATGGCTATTTATGATGTTTGGGCTGATAAAATACAGAATTATTCTGTAGGTAAACTCTGAACCAAATACTCAGAGTGAGAAGAACTTGCCTGCACTCTCACCAGATGGCACTTTTCTTCTATTGGATTTCCCATTCTCTTGAAAGAATCCACCTCTCCCCAGTCCTCTCAAAATTTATGTGTTTTCTGAGACCAGTTTTTTGGTTTTAGGTTATGATGAAAATGTCTGCCATTTCCTTTCAATTAAATGAAAGAAACTAAAAGTATTTTAAGGTTGTGCAGTTCACCAGAAGAAACTAAAAGTATTTTAAGGTTGTGCAGTTCACCAGTAGTACTTTTAAGACTAATAATTTAATTCCACGTTCTTAACTAACAATAATTTATAGATTATCTATTAAATAAAAATTCTGAGAAAATTAAATTTAAAATTAACTAATAAAAAAAAAATTGTCTGACTCAGCTTAAGATGAAAATATCCTGGGAGACTTTGTACAGGAAAGCATTTTGAAACAGAATTTTTTATGATTCCATTGTTTACAACTGCATTTAGCTCAAGGGATGTTTTTCATAAATATATCAAGAGCAAAGAGTATCAAAGTAGTCAGCTTTGTAACTAAGCACAAGTAAATCAAAAATTGGTGCAGCTGACTCTTACCTCTTTTTTTTTGTTTGTTTGTTTGTTTTTGTGGGTTTTTTTGTTTTTGTTTTGTTTTGTTTTTATCCTGGCTATGGAAAACTAGTATCCTTGAAGTCAGAAAATAATCTAAATAACTGTTCTTCTGGATGTTGACAATCATATGATACCTCAGCAACACTGCTGTTTATTTTCTTACCAAAATACAGTGTTTTACTACAGCACATAATGAGGGTAGGCAATTAAAGCGCACTGGAGGTATGAGTGTGCTCTCAAGAGAGGCAATTTTACTCTTCAACTGTGGGCAGAAAATTCAGGATTATTTTAGATAAAGTTATAGTGGTTAGTGTGGGAATATGTCCTAGCATTAATTACATAAACTACAGATTTAAATTAGAGGAGATTAGACATGCTGAAGTATCACACAGTAATGAACCCAATATGGTATCTGACATCATGGTAAACATTGCAAAATAATTGTGCAAATACTCAAAATATTTGCAGTTGCTTTTGAGAATAACGTATCAGTAATCAGTAACTTATTTAATGATTTCTTAAATAGCAATTTAGTGGCCACTGTCAAAATCAGAACTAAAACTTACAAAATCTTTGATTCTTCACATTTCTACGTGTCCTTTGTCTGTATAGCTTTTATTCTATCATTCTAAAAAAAAAAATCATATATAGAAACTCTGATTCTAATTAGGCTCAAAGTCTTCAGTAGGGTACTAATTAATTTTTTCCACCTTTAGGTACCAATGTCAGCCAATGTGTACAATGTTCTTGTATTCAAACATTATATCTGTCAGTTTTCATACTTTGTGTTTAATTTTAGATTTATCTATTAAAAAAAAAGTGGTTTTTTGGTGATGGTGCCCAGGACATCATTAATCATCATCATTTTCAAGTGACACTTGCTTTGAAAGTAACTAAGTACATGGTGCTTTTTATCATCGTGTTTCAGGGCAGCTGTTCCAACTGACATAGTTTCTCACACCTATTTAATAAGGTTTTGCTTGCCACCACTTGTCAGATACATCTGGTACTTCATGCTGAGAAAATACATCAGCATCTTCAGTGCTGAAGATGAGCACTATATTGATATCAAGGTGAAATGGTAATATTAATTCCTTTGAGAAAACAAAATAGTAATCAGTCCTAACACTTTATGCAGGTTCCTGAAATAAGATAGTTCAGTGCTAGGGGTACTGAACAAAAATGCAAGAGCCACCAACTTGTGGTTTCATAAAGCAGGTTAGCACACAGCTGGAATGTGACCCAAGATCATTTACCTTTCATAGAGTGATGTTGTAAATCAATGACTATCTATAAGGAAACATTTAAAAGTACTGTGTAAGATGAACTTCAAAATTCTGAAACTAAAGTGCTGCTTGTGACATCCATGGAAAATTTTAGCATTTTGCTGTTGGACAGGAAGTTTGGACTAATTTTTTTTAATGTAGATTTTCTAGGATGTAGACAAGTTGGAGCAAGCATGCAAGTTCCTTGGCATTCCTATGTATAGGTTAGTTTG